ACGCTAACACCAGTTTACATAATTAATACAGCATTAATTCATCATCATCATCATCATCATCATCATCATCATCATCATCATCATCGTCGTCATCATCATCATCATAAGGGGAGGGGCTAGAGTACATTACAGTATCCCATCGCATGTTTGTCAGAAGCGGTGACAGTAGTAATGCACCACCAGACAGACCACAGCTATATCTTCCTTCTACACGTTTTCTCTCGGCGTTCACACGGCCGCATAAACAAACCGATATCATCAAAAAGCTGTTTGCGTTAAAGATTACGTTTTAAAACTAGAGACTGTCAGAGGGATTGCTCCACCAGATTCGCTGCAAGCCAGCAACATGCTGCTGCTGCTGTTGCTGCTGCTGCTGCTGCTGCTGCTGCTGCTGCTGCTGCTGCTGCAGTAACAGCATCCGTGAGACCACAGGTAAGGAGAGAGCTTAGCGAAAGGATAATGCTGAAACCCCACCACCACCACCACCCTCGCAAGTTATTTATCTAAATAAAACATGTACATTGTAAGCAAGATTCTATTTATAAGGGAGGGATCAATACAAGTGCATTAGTCGCTGAACTCTTAAAATGTCCCGTTTTAAACATTCGCGCGTTAGGGTCTCCGAAGCAAAAAAGAAATCGATATGGAAATCTAGGTAGCAGACAATACTCGAGAACAAATAAGACACTAAACAGATCTACCTAATACAAATACCTCAATGCGCGCATTAACGTGATATGCAAATGAGGAGAAATCTGCGCGACTGAAGATATTGTCCTTTTGTCCCTGAAGTTCATGAAGTAAAGTAACAGCGAGGGTTTCTACAGCTGCGGTGCAGCAGTGAGTGACCTTCACAGGCAGTGAGTGACCTTCACAGCCAGTGAGTGACCTTCACAGGCAGTGAGTGACCTTCACAGGCAGTGAGTGACCTTCACAGCCAGTGAGTGACCTTCACAGCTACGTAAGGATATTCTTTGACCCCTCTCCCGTGTCATTAGCCTATAGCGGCCGCCGCACACAGCCAGCCAGTCAATCACGCAGCTAAACTAGGCTGTTACTTTACAATGCGAGTGGCGCCTTGCGAACGTGTTCGCCTACTTAAATTACATCCACGGAGGAGGAGGAGGGGAGGAAGTGTGCTTCATCTCCTAGCGAGTCGCGTCTGTGTGGAATAGTGGTGGAGGAGAGAGAATGTGATGAGATTGTGAAACTATCGCTGATTGCTTCACTGCTGCAGCCTCCCACCAGAACCGTATAAGATTGATGATCTATCGATTTCATTATCATAACACTCGAACGAGAAAATTTGCTATCAACTTGCAATAACACAAAAGCAAGTAAGTATTTTCGATGCGTACGTTGTAACGTAGTCCACGCTGGACGACTGCCACTAAAGCTGCACATCGTGTTACACCCGCTACCTAAACCCCAGCTTCATTCCGACCTTGCACGCGGATAAATTTCACGCTATTAAATCTAACTCTAGCCAGTTACGGCTACAAAGCGAACAGACTCTCACAGTAAATATCGCTTTCATGAACTCGATCCCTTCTGCGTTTAAATTTGGATGCCGATCAAATTAGCGCGAGCAAAGCCCTCACGTCTAGCACGCTAAACATAGCAAGCCAACGTTTGTTTTAGAGTGCATAAATGTGCTAGTAGGCGAGCCAACAGCAGCAGCCAACAGCAGCAGTAGTAGTAGCAGCAGCAGAAGCAGTAGCAGCAGCAGCAGCAGCAGCAGTAGTAGCAGCAGTAGTAGTAACAGCAGTAGTAGTAGCAGCAGTAGCAGTAGCAGTACTTAGCATTTTTAATACAGACGAACGCAGAGTTTAAACAAAGTTTAACGAACTGTGTCAGACAGATGGTTATACGTGTGTCTGAAGCATGATATATGCGAAGATCTGGGTTTCCGTCAGTAGCAACAGATTGATTACCCTCCGCACAGCAGTAACTTTCTTTAAGTAAACTATCTGTATTACACTGTTCACTCTGAGTTATTTTTTATAACCCTACTTCTACCCATCTTAGATGACAGAAGCCAGATTGATCATTTATCACACATTTAACCCTTGCCATGCCTCACACACATTTAACCAAGCTGCTTAGCTATAGCTAAAATGCTCGCCTAAAATCTGCTCCTAAACAACATCTCCAATTCAAAAAAAAAACTTGTGCGCACTTTGATAACACGCGGCTACGGACAGATGTAGGGTGCGAAATTAACGCGAGTCCGGAGTCATTTACTCCCTGATTTGACATATGCAGGAGTCCGTGTGACTCCCTGAAAATTCTGCTATACTAACAAGTTCGTTCCAGAGCACGGCCTCACGGAATTACCGTATTTTTTCCCAGCAAATGTCCAAAGAAAATTTAGCAGACGTGCATCACATGAATCTTCAAAATACGCACATGTATGCGTTATTGTTGATGTGCTTTAGTTTTGAACTTCAGATTACAGACTGCCTCATTTTGCTGCGGATTCCCTCTTTTTGAGAGTAGGGAGTCCGTTGGACTCCCTTGTTCAAAAGTTAATTTCTAACCCTGCCTGAGATGTACGACATTTATTCACGTCTGCATAATCGCCGCCACCCATCTGTAGCCGTGTCTCAACAGATTGAAAATCAGCGGTGGCTTCCTTCTTCCTCTCGTCAACCTTTCCATTAACTGTCAACTTACGATAAATGTGGCACGGGGGATCACTTGCCGTACATGCAGCCAGGGAAACAACACTGCACACTGCTGATAATTTCTCACGAAATTTCCCCAAGCCCTAGACTTCGTATAAGCTTGACATATACATATATTATATTATCAACGTCATTCCTTACGGTTACTATCAGGGAGCAACGGTATGCCTGTAACCTTACTAACCGTAAGTCTTACGGTAACTGTCAGGGAGTGACAGTAAGTGTGTGACAATACTAACCGTATGTCTGACGGTTACTGTCAGGGAGTGACAGTAAGTGTGTGACAATACTAACCGTATGTCTGACGGTTACTGTCAGGGAATGACAGTAAGTGTGTGACAATACTAACCGTATGTCTGACGGTTGCTAGACACCTATG